GACAAACTACTAATACATCTTGTACCATATTAACCTTAACGTACCCGTTAACCACCTACCGGGGGGGGGGGGGGTAGGGAACGTTTTTCATTTCTTTAATTGGACCTTTTTTGATGAATACATCACGTTAGTTTTGCCAAAACACCTGTAATTTTCGGTAATTTTGGATAAATAGGACGTGGATCACTAGCGATCCAGGGCATGCATATTCTAAGATCTGTGTTAATTTTATCTGAAAGGGGGGGGGGGTACATTGAAAAGTGTCGTGAAAAACACAATGGCAGCACATCAAAGAACACTGTTACTACTCCCAAACGCAAATGATGTTTGATGGGCCAAAGACAGAAAAACAGTAGTTACATCGTACGTTTGTTTATGGTACAGTACTTCTGGATGTTGCTGTTGCTGTTGCTGATGTGGTATTGTGGTGATTCTGTTCGTATGCTGTTAGACTTAATAAATAATATTTACACATACACATGGTCGAAATACTTTTTTTTTTACTTTGGCGGATCACTTGTTAACGTAAGTAAACTAGATGTACTTACGCAGGATCGCCGAAAGTTTTCTGTTTCAATTTTATATTTCTTGCTTTTAAAGTTCGTATGTCATGTTGTGTTGTAACTTACAGAGTGAATAATTCTTCTCGTTATTCTTGGCATGCGCACGTTTTACTGACGTCACGACAGTACAAATTGTAACTTTAATCGTCCCTTATGTGACGTCATTTTTGTGCCTACTGACTGACTAACTTACAGACAAAACACTACTGTATAGTGTTGAGAGTGGTTAAAATTTTGGGAAAATTCATCAGCGCAAATTATAAACTAGTCGAGTGTTAATATTAACGTGTTGAAGAAGTGTGAAAGCCGCGGTGAGGTCAAATATCGATTGTAAATAGATAATACTTTACACAATGAGTATTGTTCAAATATCGATTGTAAATAGATATTACTTTACACAATGAGTATTGTTCAAATATCGATTGTAAATAGATATTACTTTACACAATGAGTATTGTTCAAATATCGATTGTAAATAGATAATACTTTACACAATGAGTATTGTTCAAATATCGATTGTAAATAGATATTACTTTACACAATGAGTATTGTTCAAATATCGATTGTAAATAGATAATACTTTACACAATGAGTATTGTTCTTTATGTAATATTTGAGTTGGGATATTTTGATGTGACCATAGTAACGGATGCCAACATCCCATAACACCATTTTTCACTTGTGTTTGTGATGATAATGGAGATATAGGATACACAAAGGCCTGAAGCTATTACTGTGGGTTTCACGTGCCAAGAGTTCCGAGGAACGTCACAAACTTGGCCAGATAGCGGGGTTTACTGTAACTCTTATAATGCACTCATAGGTTAAAACGTATTCATCGCAACTCGCCCCCCCCCCCAGTGGCACAGCGGCATGTCTGCGGACTTACAACGCTAGAATCCGGGTTTCGATACCCGTGGTGGGCAGAGCACAGATAGCCCATTGTGTAGCTTTTTTGCTTAATTACAAACAAACAAACCGCAACTCGACACACAAACCACTAGGCCACGCCAAGTTTTTTTTTACCAGTTCTGTTACAAGAAGTCGTAGTAAATTAAAATCGAAACCAAACACCATTGTCTCTGTTGAGTTATACGTGTTAAATAGCCTTAAGCTTTTATTATATTTCATGTGAGCTCAGGCGATTGAGGGGTGAAAATCAAAAACAGTGAAAAAAAAAAACAACACAGAATATTTTTCACAGCACGACAAACATGATAACTTGTTTAATCGATAAACTATTCAGGAATATATTTTATCCGCCATTTGTGTAGAAATATTTTTCAATCTAAATTAATAGCTCGACAATAAAACTATAGCCAACTTGCTGACTTATGTTTATTTGATATTCCTTCTGTTTAGTTTACGCTACTACGTATGAGCTGAAAATTGTTTCAGAAACGCTTGTTATTTCCACTGAACATCAGACAAATTCTGTGACGAAATCATCCAGAAAATACTTTATGGTATCGTATAAACCGCAAAACAAACGTTAGCATCAGACCACGTCTATTTCAAGCTCACTAACTGTCTGTAATATATATATATATATATATTTGATATGTATTGACCTATTGATTAATTTAACCTAGCAGGCATCCACGAGGATTTTGATCGTCTGTGAGACGAATATCGGAGTTCAAACACGTGTCAGATAACATCTACTTCGAGCTCAACAAGTTGTCTCCAATATGTATTTGTATATATATATATATATACTAATTCGTTGGCCAATCTAACCTAGCAGGTAGCCATGTCGTCAAGCCGAAAAACGTGGTTGATTATCACTCTTATAATGCGCCAACAGTTGTAGTCTTGTTCAACGGCATTGTGGCACGAACCTTGGACTATTCTATCCGCAGTTCGGCAGTGATGTCCTTAAGATCTACAATGTTGTTGTAACAACTAAAA